AGCAAGCTAAGATCCTCTGGCTTGAAATTCTTGCTGCTAGCACAGCAGTTTGAAGTTGACTTGGGACACTAGAGCTTCGTGGGGGGGAGGGGCATCTGCCATTACTGAGGCTTGAGTAGGTGGTTTTCCCCTCACAGCTCACAGTGTAAACAAAGCCATGGGGAAGTTCAGATTGGGTGGAGCTCACCACAGCTCAGCAAAGTCGCTGTAGCCATCACCCCTCTCTGTGCAGGGCATCTCTGAAAGAAAGGCAGCAGCCCCAGTTATAGATAAAACTCCGATATGCCTGAAACAGAGCACCTTGAGGAAGGGATGGCTGTGGGTGCAGCTTCAGCAGACAAATGTTCCTGCCTGCCAGCTATGAAGAGAGCAGCAGATCTCCCAGCACAGCGCTAGAGCTCTGCTAAGGGACAGACTGCCTCCTGAAGTGGGTCCCTGACCCCTGTGCCTCCTGACTAGTAGACACCTCCCAGCAGGAGTCGACAGACATCTCATACAGGAGAACTCTGGCTGGCATCTGGCAGGTGCCCTTCTGGGATGAAGCTTCCAGAGGAAGAAACAGGCAGTAATCTTGGCTGTTCTGCAGTGTCTTCTGGTGATACCCAGGCAAACGGGGTCTGGATTAGAACTCCAGCTAACTCCAGCAGACCTGCAGCAGAGAGGTCTGACTGTTGGGAGGAAAACTAACAAAAAGGAATAGCATAAATGTTAAACAAGACGTCCACATAGAAACCCCATCCAAAGGTCACCAACATCAAAGACCAAAGGTAGATAAATCCACAAAGATGAGAAAAAAAAAAAATCACAGAAAGGCTGAAAATTCCAAAAACCAGAATGCCTCTTCTACTCCAAAGGATCACAATTCCTCGCCAGCAAGGGAGCAAAACTGGATGGAGTATGAATTTGATGAATTGAGAGAAGTAGGCTTAAGAAGGTGGGTAATAACAAACTCCTCCAAGCTAAAGGAGCATGTTCTAACCAAATGCAAGGAAGTTAAGAACCTTGAAAAAAGGTTAGAGGAATTGCTAACTAGAATAACCAGTTTAGAGAAGAACATAAATGACCTAATGGAGCTGAAAAACACAGCATGAGAACTTTGTGAAGCATATACAAGTATAAATAGTCAAATCGATCAAGAAAATGTATCAGAGACTGAAGATAAACTTAATGAAATAAAGCATGAGGACAAGGTTAGAGAAAAAAGATTAGAAAGGAACTAACAAAGCCTCCAAGAATTATGGGACTTTGTGTAAAAACCAAACCTACGTTTGATTGTTGTACTTGAAAGTGACAGGGAAAATGGAACCAAGTTGTATTATCCAGGAGAACTTCCCAACCTAGCAAGACAGGCCAACATTCAAATTCAGGAAATACAGAGAATACCACAAAGATACTCCTCGAGAAGAGCAACCCCAAGACACATAGTCGTCAGATTCACCAAAGTTGAAATGAAGGAACAAATGTTAAGGGCAGCCAGAGAGAAAGACTGGGTTACCCACAAAGGGAAGCCCATCAGACTAACAGTGGATCTCTCTGGAGAAACCCTACAAGCTAGAAGACAGTGGGGGCCAATATTCAACATTCTTAAAGAAAAGAGTTTTCAAACTGGAATTTCATATCCAGCCAAACTAAACTTCATAAGTGAAGGAGAAACAAAAATCCTTTACAGACAAGCAAATGCTGAGAGATTTTTGTCAGCACCAGGCCTGCCTTACAAGAGCTTCTGAAGGAAGCACTAAATATGGAAAGGAAAACCCAGTTTCAGCCACTACGAACACATACCAAATTGTAAAGACCATCGACACTATGAAGAAACTGCATCAACTAACAGGCAAAACACCAGCTAGCATCATAATGACAGGATCCAATTCACACATAATAATATTAACCTTAAATGTAAATGGGCTAGATGCCCCAATTAAAAGATACAGACTAGCAGATTGGATAAAGAGTCAAGACCCATCAGTGTGCTGTATTCAGGAGACCAATTTCATGTGCAAAGATGCACATAGACTCAACATAAAGGGGTGGAAGAATTTACCAAGCAAATGGAAAACAAAGAAAAGCAGGGGGTGCAATCCTAGTCTCTGATAAAACAGACTTTAAACCAACAAAAATCAAAACAGACAAACAAGGGCATTACATAATGGTAAAGAGATCAAGGCAACAAGAAGAGCTAACTATTCCAAATGTATATGCACCCAATACAGGATCACACAGATTCATAAAGCAAGTTCTTAAAGAACTACGAAGAGAATTAGGCTTCCACACAATGATAGTGGGAGACTTTAACACCTGACTGTCAATATTAGACAGACAAATGAGGAGAAATTAACAAGGATATTCAGGACTTAAACTTAGCTCTGGACCAAGTGAACCTATTACACATCTACAGAACTCTCCACCCCAAACAGATAGAATATTCATTCTTCTCAGCAAGTTTCAATGCAAAAATCCTCAGTAAAATACTGGCAAACCAAATCCAGCAGCATGTAAAAAACCTTATTCACCACAATCAAGTTGCCTCCATCCCTGGGATGCAAGGCTGGTTCAACATATGCAAATCAATAAAAGTAATCCATCACATAAACAGAAACAATGACAAAAAACACATGATTATCTCAATAGATGCAGAAAAGGCCTTCAATAAAATTCAATACCCTTTCATGCTAAAAACTTTCCATAAACTATATATTGATGGAATGTATCTCAAAATAATAAAAGCTATTTATGACAAACTCATAGCCAATGCCATACCGAATGGGTAAAAGCTGGAAGCATTCCCTTTGAATACCAGCATAAGACAAGGATGCCCTCTCTCACCACTCCTATTCAACACAGTATTGGCAGTTTTGGCCAGGTCAATCAGGTAAGAGAAAAAAATAAATAGTATTCGAATAGGAAGAGAGGAAGTCAAATTATCTCTGTTTGCAGATGACATAATTGTATATTTAGAAAACCCCATTGTCTCAGCCCAAAATCTCCTTAAGCTGATAAGCAACTTCAGCAAAGTCTCAGGATACAACATCAATATGCAAAAGTCAAAAGCATTCCTGTACACCAATAATAGACAGAGTCAAATCATGAGTGAACTCCCATTCACAGTTGATACAAAGAGAATAAAATACCTAGGAATACAACTTAACAAGGGATGTAAGTTGTATCACAATGAGATGCCATCTGACGACGCCAGGACCTCTTCAAGGAGAACTATAAATCACTGCTCAAGGAAATAAGAGAGGACACAAAGAAATGGAAAAACATTCCATGCTCATGGATAGGAAGAATAAATATCAAGAAAATGGCCATTCTGCCCAAAGTGATTTATTGATTTAATGCTATCCCCATCAAGCTACCATTGACTTTCTTTGCAGAATTAGAAAACAAAAACAAAAAACGACTTTAAATTTCATATGGAAACAAAAAGTGCCCTTATAGCCAAGACAATCCTTAGCAAAAAGAACTAACTTGGAGGCATCACACTACCTGACTTGAAACTATACTACAAGGCTACAGTAACCAAAACAGATATATAGACCAATGGAACTGAACAGAGCCTTCAGAAATAACACCACACATCTACAACTATCTGATCTTTGACAAACCAGACAAAAACAAGCAATGGGGAAAGGATTGCCTATTTAATAAATGGTGTTGGGAAAACTGGCCAGCCATATGCAGAAAACTGAAACTGGACCCCTTTCTTATACTTATGCAAAAATTAACTCATAATGGATTAAAGATTTAAATGTAAGACCCAAAACCATAAAAACCCTAGAATAAAACCTAGGCAATATTATTCAGGACATAGGCATGGGCAAAAGCTTCATGACTTAAACATCAAAAGCAATAGCAACAAAAGCCAAAATTGACTAATGGGATCTAATTAAATGAAAGAACTTCTGCACAGCAAAAGAAAGTATCATCAGCGTGAACAGGCAACCTACAGAATTGGAGAAAATTTTTGCAATCTATCCATCTGACAAAGGGCTAATATCCAGAATCTACAAGAAACTTAAACAAATTTACAAGAAAAAAACAACCCCATCAAAAAGTGGGCAATGGATATGAACAGACACTTCTCAAAAGAGAAACAAATCTGAAAAAAAGCTAATCATCACTGATCACTAGAGAAATGCAAATCAAAACCACAGTGAAATGCCATTTCATGCCAGTTAGAATGGCGATCATTAAAAAGTCAGGAAACAACAGATGCTGAAGAGGATGTGGACAAATTGGAACACTTTTACACTGTTGGTGGGAGTGTAAATTAGTTCAGTCATTGTGGAAGACAGTGTGGCAATTCCTCAAGGATCTAGAACCAGAAATACCATTTGACCTAGTAATCACATGATTATAAATCATTCTCCTATAAAGACACATGCACATGTATGTTTATTGCAGCACTATTCACAATAGCAAAGACTTGGAACCAACCCAAATGCCCATCAATGATTAACTGGATAAGGAAAATGTGACACATATACACCATGGAATACTATGCAGCCATAAAAAAGGATGAGTTCATGTCTTTCGCAGGGACATGGATGTAGCTGGAAACCATCGTTTTCAGCAAACAAACACAGGAACAGAAAACCAAACACTGCATGTTCTCACTCATAAGTGGGAGTTGAACAGTGAGAACACATGGACACAGGGAGGGAAATATCAGACACTGGGGCCTGTGGTGGGGTGGAGGGTAGAGGAGGGATAGCTTTAGGAGAAATACCTAATATACATGACAGGTTGATTGGTGCAGCAAACCAATATGGCACGTGTATACCTATGTAACAAACTTGCATGTTCTGCACATGTATCCCAGAACTTAAAGTATAATAGTAATTTAAAAAAGAATGGTATCAAAATATTTTTCCTTCCTCTGCTCTCTCCAGTTGTAATGGTTGTATTAAAAAACAATGTTTAATATCAACTATACCAAATAAAATGTTTGTTTTTGAAGTTGAGTAAGAATACATTTATTTTCTTTTTAATCTACTTTAAATTAATTGTTTATTTTTTATAATTACTTTTAAGTCTCAAATCAAATGTCATGTCTTCACTTTTCAATTTTAAATGCTTTATTATTTAAATTGCACTGATGCTTGAAACTATCTCTTTTACTTATTTACTTCTTTATTTATTACTGCTTATTTGTTTATTCACTTATTTTTTAGTTATCTTGCCAGTTTTGTTTGTCATCATTGCATTAAGAGCCTGGTTTATAGAAGACACAAAATAATGTTAATAAATACACTAACTGTTACAAAATAAAAGCCACTGCTTTGATATCTATAAAGTGTACCAGTATCTTGAAATTAAAGAATGATGGACTATTCTGTGTTCTTGTGTATCAGCAATTGACAGAACCAAGGCATTCCCTGGTTAGGATTAGGTAAATGCTTAGCTGAGTCCTAGGGGTTTCAAGGTAGTAAGGCATGATGGCTTCCTGCTTCAATCAAAGCAATTCTCACTCAACAGTGTTTCACAGAGATGTTCTGCATAAGCTTTTGTTTGAAGCAAGAGTTCCATTGCTTAAAAATAGGAGGTTGCAGTACAGTGATAAAAAACCACTGTTTTAGGGAATTTGGAGCAAAAGGTAGCTGAAATGAGTTTACATTCTAAGTTATATTTTTCCCTTTAAAAGTTAATGTGCTGCTTAATAATGATTTTATACTATAATGACATAAAATTATTTCTGCCTTGGTTTGAAGATTTGAACAATTTATGCTTTTTAGAATTTTGTAGATAAATCAAACTGAAAATCTTTGACCTTTGGCTATATAAGAAAAAACTGTAAGTTAAACATTATATTGGAAAATGAGAATTTTGGCTTCAAAGATTTCTCCTACTGTGTTAATCTTATATTTATATTTTATTTCCTTCTCTATAGAGAGAGCATATAAAAACATGTTTAGTGTTTCTTTGCTTTCCAAGTTACATTTTATCTTGAGTAGATTTAAAACCAGATTAGCTGTAATAGGATTCCAAGATGTGGGCAGATGTCTACTTGTCACAGACAATATCTCTTGCAATCAGCTCCTTCATTATTTCATTTGCACCACCATAGATTGGCTGAACTCAGGCTTCCACATAAGCTCTGGATAAATCAGAAGATGATTTAATAAATAAAAGATACTAGAAACTGTAAATTTTTTCTCACCAGGTAACTATTAATTAAACTATCAATTTAATGAAATACAAACAATAAAAGTCCTTCATAAATTACTTGTTTTTTCAATATAGCATTCATCCTAAATTGGAATAATAGTAAAGAAAAAACTATTAAGATGCTAATAATCTGTATAGCTTTATTTTAATTTTATTAAAGAGATTATAAATTTGAAATAACAATAAGTATGTTTCATCAGATTTAATTTTGTAAAATTCAGCACGTATAACACTCTTAAAAAGACTATTTTAGATTAGAAAATGCACAGATTGTCTTAGTTTCTTACATGTTTTCTAAAAAAGTTGAAATCCATTTGTTTTGTAGAAAACAAAAGAAAAAATACATATCTTCTAGCACTCCCACCACCACTATCAGGAATATAAACTGATGCTTTAGCAAATATTATTTCCCAGAAAGTTAGCAAGTAACTTGTTTTATGGAAATGGTTAATAGTTAACTTCAGCGACGTGTGGAGTTAAAATACTAAGTGGTTGAGTCCATTGCCATACCCACACCAAAGAAAAGCCCCAAATATCATCAGAAGTTCATTTTTGATAGTCATGATAACAACCATGCCATTGTACAGCTGTTTTTATCTTGTCTTATCTCATTTTATCCTCTTAGCTCTGGGATTGGGGAGGGATAAATGTTAATACTGTTTTCCTGGTAAAGGAACTGAAGTACAGAGAAGTTAATACATTTCCTAATTAATGGTTGCTATTTAATTGTCACTAACACATCATTGGCAAACTGGAATGAAGATGTAGGTATCCTGCCTCTTTTTCAAATATCTTTTTTGTATATCACAACACTTTCATTGGCCAAAAGCACTAGTTATTGAACTTTGGACTTTCTTAGTAGACACATTCAAAGGGTTTCCCCTCCCCCCCCCAAGTATAATCATGGTGTTTTGTTTTGTTTAAATTTGATTTTTTTTTTTTTTTCTCGAGACGGTGTCTCGATCTGTTGCCAGGTGCCAGGCTGGAGTGCAGTGGCGCGATCTCGGCTCACTGTGACCTCCGCCTCCCGGGTTCAAGCAATTCTCCTGCCTCAGCCTCCTGAGTAGATGGGACTACAGGTGCATGCCTCCAAGCCCAGCTAATTTTTGCATTTTTAGTAGAGACAGGGTTTCACCATGTTGACCAGGATAGTCTCTATCTCTTGATCTCGTGATACGCCCGCCCCAGCCTCCCAAAGTGCTGGGATTACAGGCTCTCTAAGAACATACCAGACTTGAACATATTCTTCTCCATATTCATCAGAGTTCCCTACAAAGAAATGGGCACTCAGTAAATGTTTATTGATATGATTTACTATATTACAAAGGAAATTTAGAATCTCGGTACTTTCTGCCGAAAGTTTTAAAAGCTTGAGACATTTATGTTTTCAAACATTTTTTTTCTAAACAGATTTTGCTCTGCTCTACAAAATCTAGCACCTGCATTTTGAGGACTTACCTAGTGTAAGCCTATTTCAGCAATCCCAGGGCATTTAGATTTTTTTTTAATGGACTAGACTTCTCTTCACATTAAAGAAGTGCCAATGGAGTAGACAAAGACAGAGATTAGTAGACCTTTTATATGTTACTAATTAAATTTAGTCATCAACTAAAATTAACAGTGAAAGGCAGCAGCAGAAATGTTTAACCACACTGCAATGAAGTTCTACCTCTAAGGCTGCCCTTCCTAGCATGATAGAGAAAATCCTCAAATGGCAAAGTTGCAACCTCTCTCCTCAGGCTTGAACCTAATGAGTAAGACTGAAATAAACCCACATGCTAAAGACCAATTATTTAAAAAGACAAAAACAAAAAAAGCAAAATAAAAAAGCAGAGAAAGCACCTCTTTTATCTATGAAACCAAGACTCAGCAACATATATATAAACTAATGTAGTTTAGTCTGCGGGATATAAGAAACACAATTAGAATGATTTTTTTCTATCAAATCAAAATCTATACATTACATCCACATATTGCCTAATGTGTCTATGTGACTTTTTGTTTTTTGAGACAGAGTCTCACTCTGTTGACTAGGCTGGAGTGCAGGGGGGTGATCTCAGCTTACTGCAACCTCTGCCTCCCGGGTTCAAGCAGTTCTTGTGCCCCCCGAGTTGCTGGGACTACAAGTGCCCGCAACCACACCTGGCTAAATTTTTTGTATTTTTAGTAGAGACAGGGTTTCCCCATGTTGTCCAGGCTGGTCTCAAACTCCTGAGCTCAGGCAATCCACCCACCTAGACCTCCCAAATTGCTGGGATTACAGGCATAAGCCAATGCACCCAACCTAAGTGGCTTTTTGATATGAAGTGATATATGGAAAGAGAAATAGTAGGCTACTTTAAAAATGGATACAATCTTTGAACTAACAAACTGGCCAAAAAAGGTAATTATTGTTCCTTAAAGGGAATATAAGTCTCTTAAACTGAAACCAAAGATTTCAAATAAGCCATCAAACTACAATGTCTGCTTGGTATCAGCTTGAAGGAGTTGACTCTGAGAAAAGAGACCAAGGCTTATGCCACACTCTAATCTTAAACCATTTAGATGGTTGCCTTCTCCCCACCTAATAGACCTTTCTTAGAATGTGAACTAAACCACACAGACACTGAGCCACTACATAGCTTCTGCTCTTAATGTAATTTTAGTAAAATATTTCTTTTTCTCACTCAGGACTATAAATATATTAAATGTTTTCAATTATACTTACCAAAAAGGTAAATTTGAAATCATTAGGCTGCCAGTTTGAATGTGGGTTTCATAATTTTTCCCTTTATATACTTTACAATAAGATAAAAATCTTAAAACATTTTTAGAAGCCTATAGCATTCTTAGATTCAGACCAAATTGAACTTTTCTGTATAAATAAAAAACTTCCTTGAGAAAATTTTCTAAACCAAAAACATTGCTAAGTAATGAGAAAGATATATTTTCTAGGGTGATGAGGAGAAATGCTATGGGCAGGCAAAAAAAAAAAATGCTATGAGGCAAAAGACTATGCTAAGAGAAAAGGAAATTCTGGAGATTAAGGAGGAAATGAGGGTGAGGACGCTGCCTATATACAAATTAGTACTGCTTCGAACTGATAAGAATATTCATATATAATATGATAAGTACAAAAGTTATATTTGATTTCTTTCCATTTGAAGGAAATAAAAAATATATTTAGAAAAATAAAGATTTTTGATTTATTTTTTAGAGCAAAACAATCAGATATTTAAGATATGTGACAACTTACATCCTTTGCATAGGCCGGTTAATTTTTCTGCACTGCTTTTTTTTTTTTTTTTTTTTTTTTCTAAAGTAGTATTTAGCCAGACACTGTGGCTCACGCTTGTGATCCCAGCACTTTGGGAGGCCAAGGCAGGCTGAACACTTGAGGCCAGGAGTTGGAGACCAGCCTGGCCAACATAGCGAAACCACTCCTCTACTAAAAATACAAAAAAAAAGTAGCATGTGCCTGTTAATTCCAGCTACTCTGGAGACTGAGGCACAAGAATTATTTGCACCTGGAAGGTAGAAGGTGCAGAGCCCAGATCATGCCAATACATGCCAACCTGGGTGACAGAGTGAGGCTGTCTCAAAGTAAAATAAAGAATAAAAAAAATTTAAAAGTAGCCCTTGCCCTTCTACCTAACAATTCGAATAAAGCCGAGCATCAAGCTTTTGTATACTGGTCTCTTTACTTTCTTTAAGAAAGATAAAATCCCAGTAGTGAGTTGTTTAAAAAAAAAAAAAAAGCTGTTTCCATTTGCTTGAACACATTCTGTCTGTATTCAGCTGAAAAATTCAAAAGATTGCACACCTCCTTTCCCTCTACATTTGATGTGCAAAGTAAAGAAATTTTCCTTTTTCTTCATATCATAAAGAATAGCGTGTCAGAACAACCACACTTACTTTGCAGTTAGGTGCTCCCATATGCATCCCCAACCTCCATGGAGCTGTACACGGTCATAAGCTGCACTATTTTGTAAATCAGATGTCCTAAATTACCAAAAAAAAAAAAAAAAAAAAAAAAAAAAAGGCAGAAAGAAACGTTTGAAATGGATTTTCATGAGGTGCTTCAAAACCAGAAAACTAATTATTTACAATTGTTTAAATGTGCACATTTATTAAGCAATTAAAATGGCATATTACCTAAGCAAAGAAGATGATAAAAATCACGCATGAAATAAATTTCAAGAGAATTTTCATATAAGAATACCTTCTTCGTTAATTACATTTCTTGCTAGGTTTTTGTTAGGCTAGAAACAAAAGGTAGAAAACATGATTAGGTTTCAAAAGGCTAGGAAAAGATACAGTAAAGACTTGAATATGTTCTAATTTATTTGGATTCTCTATATGATCTAAATTACTCAGCCACCTAGTTCTTTTTGTCCTTGTAATATGCCTTTTTTTCTCCAATGATGTCACTTTCTACTTGAAGATCACGATTCTGAACTTCAGTATAAAAAAGCAATTTTTTAGGGTTCTGACTTTTCAGAAATAAATTAAAGGTAAAAGTGAAAACCCAAGAGGGCAGACTAACAAACTATATGCTATCATATAGAAAACATTAGAAAATTATATAGAGATTAATATATAATTTAAGTGTGTGTATGAGTATTACATATAATGTAATACATAACATGCAGTGCTTGAGAAAAATTCTTTTCTGATTATATCACAATTCTAACTATTATTAAAATTCACAATAGAGATTTTATTCACCTTAAAATAAAAATATATTAGTTCAAAATTCTTTTCTACTTATTTTTCTTTTCTTTATTTCTTTCTTTGTTTGTGTATTTATTTTAGTGATGGACTCTCACTCACTCTATGGCCCAGGCTGAGTAGAGTGGCACAATCAAAGGTCATTACAGTCTTGAACCCCTTGAGGGCACAAAGGATCCTCTCACCTCAGCCTCTGGAGTAGGAGTGATTACAGTTGCAAGCTACAGCATCCTGCTACTTATTTTGCAATAGTGGAAAACAGAAAGCAAAGATAAGGATAGATACTTTTTAAAATTTAAAATAATTTTAAACTCAAGCTATATGACAGCTGAGAATGTTTCTAAGCCATATATTAACAATATATATATATTTTTTTCCGAGATGGAGTCTCACTGTCGCTCAGGCTAAAGTGCAGTGGGGCAATCTTGGTTCACTGCAACCTCTGCCTCCCAGGTTCAAGCAATTCTCCTGCCTCAGCCTCCCGAGTAGCTGGGATTACAGGCATGTGCCACCATGCTCGGCTAATTTTTTTGTATTTTTAGTAGGGACGGGGTTTCACCATATTGGCTAGGCTGGTGTTGAACTCCTGATCTTGTGATCTGCTGGCTTCAGCCTCCCAAAGCACTAGGATTACAGGCGTGAGCCACCATGCCTGGCCAACAATATAATTATCAATAGACAAGGCTTTGGAGACAATAATATTTGAAGTTTGATAATTTTTTTATTTTTGGTAAGTATTTTAGTGAAATATTTACTGGGCTGTAACTAGTTGCCTCCTATGTTTCAATGTGAAATACCAGCATGTCTATAAACCTGGGGTTTTCAAATAACAAAGTCAATGGCTATCCAAACCTCCCTTTTCCCAAAAATATGTAAAAATTTTTTTACAATTTTTTCCACTAGTCAAAGAACTTGTTGTAAATGTAAATATAAAAAGTCTCCCCAAAAGTACAAGTTCCTAGTAATTCCACATTACTTTTCAACCTAGCAATTTTTTTTATTATGAGATCATTACATAAAGCACAAAATATTTCTCCTGTCCTACTTGTAACTGAACTGAACACAAGTTAATGAGTAATGACAGGAATTTTTTTCTGGGTTACTCTTGGGCTAATGATATGTGAGAATGCTTGTTTTTAAAAAGAGGGAACCAAATCTACCTCCAAAATCTGGTTTAGACTATATATTCTTAAGTCTTAAAATACACAAAAGTCTTACATACAGGGATCTTTTTTCGATCAACTCATCTTTAACACCATTGCTAATAATCTTTAATTCAAATCAAAGTCTTTCTAAACTTAATAGGATTTTTAGTTTCTTTTCACTTATTAGAGCCTGTGAAACTTTGGACAGCCAATTCTTTGTGAATTTTTTCTTACATCTGGAAAGCACCTTAAATAGAAGAATCCTGTCCAACTTAGTCATTTCACAGATAACAAAAACACTTTCCTGGATGTTTAATTATAGTTATTTAATAAAAGAATTGGGACTCTATCTTAAGGTTCCTAAATTTTACTGTTCTCTTTCAGCCTCACTATACTGCCACTCTTCAGATGATTTGAAATTAAACTATGACTTGAAAATGTCAATATTGATGACTATCCTATCAATATTAGTCTTCATTATCCTACTCTTAATATTTTATTTTCAATAGCAACCTAAGAATTAGATACTAACTTTGCTTGCCTATTAGGACAAAAAAATTCAATGCCAACTTGAATGTTTTTTAGCATGTTATACATATGTTTAATGGGACTTTTCAGCATTTTTTTAAAAGTTGAATTTTACTTTTATTTTTCATTTCACAGACTTCTTCCTTTAAGACCCTCAAGGCTGAGCTTAAAATTGGCAGAATTCCACATCAGTTTGAGCATACACCACACTCGAATTACCATAGCATGCATACCAATATTTCGCCATGCAAGCAGTGGCAGAGTCTAAACGTTTCCTTTCATGCAGCTGGAGACAGCTGTCCACAAATGCTCTGGTTATACATATGTGTGTTTTTAATTCTGCTAATTTATGTTGCACTGTCTTGAATTTAAAGGACATAAAAGAAAAATGTGAGCATGGTAGATATATAAACTTTAACCCACTTAGCATATCAGAAATTATACAATAAAAGATCTTCAGGGCAAACAAAAGTGAAATTGTTGTTTTTTTTCCTCCATAAAGAGGGCATATGTTACCAAATCAGCTTATTTTAAAACCCACTATATTTCATTGCTAAGGACATTTGTACTAAAAGATGCAAAAATAGTTAAAAACATAAATGTCTTGTTTCAGATTCTAAAATTTAGACCAGGCAAACTGCTTGAAAACAGCATAACTTTAATGTGTGCGCGCCATCTGGTGGTACACTTATTTAGGTACAGCTGTTGAAAACACCTATTATATTTTCCTCCAGAGACTAAATCCTTGAAGATTTTTTTTTTCTATTAATTAAATTAAGTATACAGATTTTGCTACTCTGCTTCTAACATTTGGAGGGACAAGGGGGTTCTATATATGTTCATAAACACATCAAAATATTTATAAGATATTATTTAATATTGCACAGTATTTAATATTATTAATTAATATTTTATTCTATTGCATTCTACAGATCTATGCAATACTAATTAATATTATTTAATATTGTGCAGTATTGCATAGATCTGTAGAATGCAATAGAATAATATCAGAGTACTAAAGAGATCAAAGTCCAGTACCCTGATGCTCTTTCATCCCTTCACATTATCCCTCCTGATATGGTTTGGCTGTGTCCCCACCCAAATCTCATCTTGAATTGTAGCTCCCACAATCCCCATATGTTGTGGGAGGGACCTGCTGAGAGGTAACTGAATCATAGGGATGGGTTTGTCCCATGCTGTTCTTGTGATAGTTGGGATCATGAGAGCTGAGTTATAATCTAGTATGAAGTCCATAAACACAGGAAATGTAAATTTCCAAAGGAATGGAAATATGTCTGTTGGTTCAACTGTTATACCTTCAGCCAAAATATGGCAAAGGTATATATATATTTTGTTTTTGTTTTTGTTTTTGTGGGGAGGGGGGTGTCAGGGTCTTGCTGTGTCACTCAGGCTAGAGTGCAATGGTGCAATCTCAGCTCACTGCAACCTCTGCCTCCAGGGCTCAAGCGATCCTCCCACCTCAGCCTTCCGAGTAGCTGGGACTACAGGCGCACACCACCACACTCAGCTAATTTTTGTATTTTTTGTAGAGATGAGGTTTTGCCGTGTTGCCCAGTCTGGTCTCAAAATCCTGGGCTCGAGCAATCTGTCTGCCTCAGCCTTCCAAAGTGCTGGGATTACATGTGTGAGCCACCATGCCTGGCCTTGATATAATTGTTTTAGTAAACATTTTTGATGTGAAAGTGATGGTGGTTGGATTTCAGAAGCAAATGATAATGATTCCATTTTGTGTACAGTTGAGAAAATCAGAGTGGTATCAAGTGGTATCACTTCCTTCATGTTGCCAGGAGTCTAGTGTTTCCAGAGTCACACCCATAAAATTACAGTTGAACACATTACCCTTAGGAGGCAATCAATATATATTTGTTCAGTGAAGCAGAAAGGAATAAATCATATATGTCAGTATTTCTCAATGGGAAATTATTGATATTTTGAGTGAGACAATTAGTTGTAATCCAAATATGAATTACAGGACATTTAACAACACTGTCCTCAAGGGCACTACACAAGTTATACCTCCAGTCAACTATGCACACCCAACCCCACCCCATTCCTGACATTTCTAAATGCCTGGGGGAAAGAGCATTCATTGAGAACCACTGAAATGTGTAAATCAGTGATCCATAAATAAAAGGGAATATAAAGTATAACATCCCTGCTCTTAAGGAAATCACAATTTAGGCAAGCCAAGTTATACTGTTTTGTTAAATGTTTTCTTGATTGACTGTGTGCCTCATTTTTATAGATTCAGAACATAATCTATAAAATTATAATGACATAAGATTGACATAAACTATAGAGAGTATAGATTTTTAAAAATCCCAATTTTGTTAAATGTTTTCTTGATTATGTGCTTCATTTTTATAGATTCAGAACATAATCTATAAAATTAGATTGACATAAGAACATAAGATTGACAAACTACATAGATTTTTTAAAAACCCAATAACTATTGCTACATCCATATGGTAAATTTCTATTCTAAAAAGAAAATAAATTTTGTGTCATGCATTTCAAATGGTCAGAAAGCCTCAAAATGTTCAAAATTCAAGGATAACAAAGAGAATGGAAACTGAATAGTTATATAGTCATAAAATTACATGTGGCCAAATATACGGTAACATTTAAAGCTCTTCTTCTACTTCAGTTGAATAGTTTTAGGTTTCTTATGCCTATATGAAAAGTTAGGATGTAAAGAATTTTTTTCAGGATGGAGAAACTTAGTTTGATAACCATACAGGTAGCAAACAGTTCCTAAAATGACGCAGAAAAGGTCTAAATCAAGAACAAGAGTAAGAAGATGACAAAAAGGTCTCCCATATTGAAACAAAATGGAGCAAGGCATTATGTAAGGAATATGCAAAATAAGGATAACAGCTAATTTTAATGAGGGCTTACTTTGCCAATATTTGCAGCATTTTATGTATATTACCCCATCTAACTGATAGAGATAGGAGACAGCTAAAGGTCTCTGGTGAAAGCCCACCTTCAAGCCTAAACCGCCTAAAGGCTGAAAAACTTGCCTACTGGTCCCAGATGAAGCCTGCCCTTTCCTGACTGATTCTTTCTGAAAAATGCCCACCTGTGTATTGGGAAGATGAGGTGGAGCCTCAGGAAGTTCACATCTTTGCAGAGGTGTGGTGACCTAGGATTCAGTCTGTAAGGCGGAATGAAGACCTACCTACTAACAGGATTTTCTCTGGCTTCACTGAGTTCCTTTTCCCTTTCATTCAGTAAACCTTGCCCTACTCACCCTACAATGTGTCTGTGTCTGCGTGCCTAATTCATACTGGTTGTGTGACAAGAAGTCAGCTTTTTCTACAACATAATCCTCACAGTTACCCTATGAGGCAGTCTCTGATATTCGCAAATAGAAAAATATTTTATAAATATGTACAAACGTTATAAATCCTAAAGATTTACAATGGTAAGATTTTACAATTTTGCAAATCAAATACATTTTATAAATTTACAAATAGGAAACTATTTTTGAGAGAGAACACAGCTTGCCTAGACTACAGAGATCCAAGTAGCTGTGTTAGAACATAAACCACAGTTGAACGTAATTTCTATAATGTTGGTCCTGAGAAGCCACTAAGCTGTTTTATTTTGACATTTACCTTCACAAAACCTTTCAGCCAGTCATTCTACTTAAAATTTTTAAAGTCAATTCCCCACCCCAGGTTTTTTGTTGGTGAGATGTTTTGCCAATTTGATGACTGCATGAAGGAATTATGAACTATTCCTTCATTTAAAAATAACTATAGGGTCTAAAATTTAATTAGCATGTTGAATGACTGTGGTCACCATATACTGAGTTCTTTTGCAAATACCCTCAAGTTCCTGGGAAAACTCCACCCTGGATAAAGACAATCATCTGTCTTTTCTGTATCTTTGTACCTGGGAAGCTAAACCCTTATCATAAGACTGATTAATATACAAAAAGCAGAAGGTAGTTAGTGTAGTTTCTCATTCTGAAGAAGGTATTTTGTACTTCTCTCACCCTTTCCAACACCTCCATGCCTCTTTCACTCACCTGTCTTTCAAGGACAAACTTTCCCTATTGTTGTTATTTATTTATTTATTTATTTATTTGAGACAGAGTCTTGATCTGTCGCCAGGCTGAAGTGCAATGGCACAATCTCAGCTCACCGCAATCTCCACCTCCTGTGTTCAAGCGATTCTCCTTTGTTAGCTGAGATTATAGGTGTGCACCACCACACCCAGCTAATTTTTTGTATTTTTAGTAGAGACAGGGTTTCACCATGTTGGCCAGGATGGTCTTGACCTCCTGCCCTCGTGATCTGCTCACCTCTGCCTCCCAAAGTGCTGGAGTTACAGGCGTGAGCCACCGCTCCTGGCCTATTTATTTATTTTTAAGATGGAATCTTGCTACGTAGCCCAGGCTGTGGTGCAGACGTGATCTTGGTTCACTGCAACGTTTGCCTACTGGGTTCGAGTGATTCTCCTGCCTCAGCCTCCTGAGCAGCTGGGAATACAGGCACCCACCATTGTGCCTGGCTAATTTTTATATTTTTAGTAGAGACAGGGTTTTGCCATGTTGGCCAGGCTGGTATCGAACTCCTGACCTCAAATGATCTGCTTGCCTTGGCCTCCCAAAGTGCTGAAATTACAGGCATGAGTCACTGTACCTGGCCATGTTATTTAAAGAAATGGAAGTCTTCTATAAATATTTTTTTGTAGTTTTCTACCAACAGAGTGATGTATCTGTCTGAACTCATATACATCCTTTGGTCCTTTCTTCCTGTGCAAATGGAGGAATCCCTTTCCTGTATCTTTCCATGGGTCAGCACCCACAGGCTCACCCTTTCTCAAAGACCTTATGCAGTTGATTATCCCCTTCCTATCTACAACCTTTCCCTCTTTATTAAATCCTTTCTCTAGGTATTAAAATATGCACCCACATCTCCATCCTAACAATAACAACAAAAAATTAGTAACTCCCAAATATCTCCCTTGACTCTCAAATCTCCTTACCCTCCCCTCTTACCTTACTACCCATTCTCTCAACTACCATGCATAGCCAAATTCAGGAAAGAGTTGCCTACCATCAGTATTGTTTTACTCCCTCATTTCTGTCTACTCACTGGGGTCTGTCACCCTCCACCTCTGTTAATGGCTCTTACTAAATAATCTCCATATCATTGTGTTCAATGAGCACTCTTTGCCCTTCATCTTATCTTTCCTTTAAGCCGCGTTTGGTCCCACTCCCTACTCCATGAAATCCTCTTTTTCCAGCTTCTGTGAGAAAGCTCTCCTGATTAGCTTTCTCCTTTCTAACTGTTCATTCATTCTCAGTTATCTTACAGACTCCTCCTTTTCAGACAATATGAATTCCAAATACAAATTCTACCTTTAAATCTTGTAGTTTTCCTTGAGGACTGTGTCCTAAGACCTCTTCCTGTCTTACTCTCAACTCACTCTCCCTTAGTGCTCTCATCCTCTTCCACGGTTTCTAATATCAACTTACATTAAAATAACCCAAACTTCTGTTTACCCTAGGCCATTTCAGATGAGTAAATTGATATCATCTAATATTAAACCATAGTGACAAGCTTACCTGTAGGTGGGCAATTATTTTCCCAAAAGCTTTTCTTTGTTTAACATAGTTCCAGGTTTCTTCAAACATGAATTAACTAGCTGAAATTGCATATCAGCAATTAGTAGCCTTTCCTATAACAAAAATTAGCTTTTAAATATTACTCTAATTATGTAAGTGATTTTCACACAATTTCAATTATGATAAATCCTATAACTTTTCTTTATAATAAATTCATAAAGATTAATTTATGTTTTAACTCTTTATAAAAAAGCAGAGATTTATGAGATTCTTTTGACATACCTCTAATCACTCTCTAAAGCAAATCCTTTATTTTTATGAATGACTGCCTTTCTTAAGTCTTTTAAAGTTTTTAAGAGATGAGGTCTCACTCTGTTGCCAAAAATGGAGTACAGTTGCACAATCATAGTTCACTACATCCTGGAATTCCTGGGCTCAAGCTATCTTCCCACCTTGGCCTTCCAAGTAGCTGGGACGACAGGCACATAACACCGTGCCCATGAATGACTATCTTCATTATATATATGTAATTTATTTAATTTTTTCTTCTCTTCATTCACATATGAGTTTAAAAAAAATCCCTAGTTGTTGATTTTAATTTATTGATCTCTGCACATTGCATGACACAATACATATGTGGAAAAACACATCTTAAAGTGCATAAGTTAAAATCTACCTATTAATGTGAAAGTAGCCTTCATCACTTTAATTCCATCGTGCTGGTGATTTTCTGGCAGTCACTAGGCAGAAGTATCCCCTTATGCTGGCATCTGAGGCTCGATAATCACTTGTCAACCATACTCCAAAACCACAGCTGTTTAGGGACTGACCCTATGTGGCTAAAACTTTTAGGTCTGAACTTTATACTTTTCCCTTTGAGTCACAGTTATTATTTAAAAACTGGCAAACTGTCAAATGTTTTGCATGACATTTCCTTACAAAGAGCTAAAAGTTTTAAATTGTAATTAAGAAGCTAAAATCATTCTAAGAAGGAATCACATAACTGAAATACCTGTTTTTCCTACCCACTTTGTAAGTTTCGATTGGATATCACTGAGTTCAGTTATATACTTATTTAGCCTATAAAATGCATACTTTAATTACAACTTTAATACTCAAATGATTAGCTATTTCACAAGTTTTGCATGTATAAATTTGCATGAATAATACAGAAATAGCATGTTTCTATATTATTCTATTCCAATTCATTATTCAATCAAAAGATGGAATCTTACCTGTGGAAGCTTTCATGAGATAATAGAAGCCTTTATTCTCTTCTCCAAGTAGGGCACTAGCTGGCAACCATACATCTTCAAAGAATAGTTCTGCAGTATCCTAAAAGACCAGACAAAAAATGTAGAGAATGATCTCATTTAAATCTTCCAATAACACAGTGAATATTGAAGTGAAGTATTGTTTTTTCCAAAAAAGCAAAAAACAAATTGGAAGCCAAGCTGGAGTGGTTAATGGACACAACTAGTATGTGGTAAACCAGGAATTTGAACCCACATCCATCTGATTCTACACCTAGTGGCTTTCCTACTGCAATACACTATTATTCCAGCTCTAATATTGTCCAGTTCTCAAGATACTTGGAACTAAGGATTTCTAATACATATTAAGCAAAACATGTATTTTTGGTAATGTATAGAAAAAATATTACCTGTTTTTACCTCATATTTTTCTTTAATACATTTTACAAATAGATGGCTTATTACCATGAAGTTAATTTTGTCATTTCTAAATCAGACAGTCAAAATAACTTGATTCATTTCTATTGCTGACCATCAGAAAGAGATAAAGTAGCATAAATGGGAATAAATCTCCATTACCACATCAGAAAAGCATATTTTAGAAATTCAGCATAGGAAGTAAAATTGTGCCACATGTAATCCTCTATATAAGTCTCCTATCTGATTAATAGTAAACTTAATTAGTATCTGAATATGATTTACATTATCACTCGTCTGGGCTTTTAATCCCATTTTTTGTAGCTTTTGTCCCTTAATAAACCCTTTCATTCCATTTTCCACCAGAAAAAGGCTAATACCATGGGCAGGGGAGGAGCCTCACAATTTGTGATCACAACTACAATCACAAGGTCACTTAACCACCCATTACTGACGAACACCTGCAAAACCCCAAGTACCTATTAATGCATCACGATAATTCAAGCCTATGTGCAAGTTATGACTGGGAGAAAGCATATTCAAGAAAACAAAACAGATGACATGCTTGATACCTCTCTCTGTACCCTACCAAATATCTGCAGAGTTGACTGTTCACACATGACGTTATCAAGGATCAGGAAAAAATTACTTAATGCTTCAAAGAATGAAGCCTATAGATTTTATTTTCACTATTAATATGACACATAATAATAACAGAGATTACTATGTTCTTTAAAAATGAAACTAAATTGTTTATTATGATAATAAATTGTATTTTAGAAGAAAGCGACTGATAAGCAAAGAAAATCTGGCTGGGCCCGGTGGCTCACACTTATAACCCCAGCGCTTTAGGAGGCAGAGGCAAGGGGATCATTTGAGGTTAGGAGTTCAAGACCAGCCTCACCAAAACAGCAGAGACAAAAAATGAAAAATTAGCTAGTGTGGTAGTGTGCACCTATAGTCCAAGCTACTCCGGAGGCTGATGCAGGAGGACTGCTTGAGCCCAGGAGTTTGAGGTTGCAGTGAATTATGATTGTGCCACTGCACTCTAACCTGGGTGACAGAGTGAGACCCTGTCTCTAGCAAAGAAAGAAAAGAAAAGGAAAACAAAAAGAGAAAATCTGCTAGAAATGGCACTATACTATTTATTCTCAGATTTATCCATTTTGAAAAGGACTATTTTTGATTTTTGTAATAGATATCCTGCTTCCTTCAAAATGGCCTAAATAAGAGAATATGATTAAGGAGGGAAATAATAACAAGCCAAAGGAGAGGGATTATTAGATGATATTGATCCAGAAAACAAAATATACCCAGAGCAAATAATAATTGTCTTCTCATTCTGCATCTTTCCTTGCTCATCTAAATCACTTTCATGGCTTGAGTCACCCTCTACATGCTGATGACTCCAAATATTTATCTAAGCCACATTTCTTTACTTTTTTTTTTTTTTTTTTTTTTTTTTTTAGAGGCAAGGTTTCTCTCACCCAGGCGGGAGTGCAGTGGTGTGATCATAGCTCACTGCAGCCTCAAACTCCTGGTAAGCCACATTTCTTGATAGGACCTGGACATTTATACCTACTTGCTTCTGGATAATTCCACCTGATGACTCATGGGAAGGACATATTCCTTCCCACCCTTACTCCTGTCCAATCCTGATTATCAACCAATTTCCCTATCTCAATGAATGCTTCAATAAATCATGCTATCATCTTGCTTCATATTCAATGCAGCATCTAGTTCTTTCTTTCTTTCTTTTTTTTTTTTTTTTTGAGACGGAGTTTCGCTCTTGTTACCCAGGCTGGAGTGCAATGGCGCGATCTCGGCTCACCGCAACCTCCGCCTCCTGGGTTCAGGCAATTCTCCTGCCTCAGCCTCCTGAGTAGCTGGGATTACAGGCACACACCACCATGCCCAGCTAATTTTTTGTATTTTTAGTAGAGACGGGGTTTCACCATGTTGACCAGGATGGTCTCGATCTCTTGACCTCATGATCCACCCGCCTCAGCCTCCCAAAGTCCTGGGATTACAGGCTTGAGCCACCGCGCCCGGCTGCATCTAGTTCTTTCTAATCCATCTTAATACTTTTGAAATCTATTCACTTCCTTTCAAGTCTATTGTAATTATCTTATTTCCAGCCCTCATCCTTTCTTAAGTTCCTGCAACTCATCTCTCTATAGCTGTATCATTCATTATGATGTCAGAGGGATCTTTCTAAATGTCATCTGATCATATCACCTTCACACTTAAAAAATTTTGAATAGCTCCTAATAGGCTTCAGGATAAATTCAAAGCCCTTAGCAGGAAATAGAAAACTTATCACAAACTGCAACTAGCTTACCTCTCCTTACCTACCTTATTACTTGTCCCACTCCTCCCAATTCCCCATTCTCCAGCCAGTGCTACTAAATTACTTGCTGTCCATCACATTTTGAGGTTTTCCTGACCTGTGAGTCTGAAAATCTTGTTTTTGCTACTTGGGAAAGGACCTTTCCCAACTCTGCTACAATGAATCCTACCTATCCTGGACGGATTAGACATCAGATTGCCCCAAAAGTCTCAAATTCTCCAGACTGGGTTAAGTGCTCCTATAACACCTCAAATTTACCATGATTTTAATATTTATCAAACTGTATTCAAATGATCTGTTTTTATCTCTCTCCCTTTTAAATAGTAGGGGTATAAAATGATGTTCGTTACTCCCATCACCTAAAATGCACAGCACTGACACATACGAATAATGAAAAATGGGCAAATAATGTTAGTGTTGTCTACACAACAGCAAATGAAGATAGTGGTAGCAGCATGGTTATAGGTGACACATGAAAAGGTCATCAACACCTCTCCTAACTAGGAACTCCTAGCCATTTCCTACTCATCTGTCTACCCTCAGTGCTTAGAATTCTGTTTGGCACAGAGAAGGCCAAAGGATGTTTTAAAAATATATTTTGAAAAAGATGTTCTTCAAAGAAATTCTATACATCTTGGCAAAAATATTTTTTCATCAGTATGGCTCCATTACACCATTCCCTTGCTCAAAAACCTTATAAGTCTACCAAGTTCCTACCTTTCTGTGTAGTTCCTAACATCTATGTAGCTGCCACAGTTGAAATGCTATAAGAGTGCATTTTTGTTTGTTTTGAATCACACAGCATCCAGGAATTAGCATCTACTGTATGCTTTTAAAATGGTCTCATACATGTTTTAACTATAGGTGGTAAATAAACAAAAGAATAGAAAGGAAGCAGTTCATTGGGCAAAAATTATTCACTTTAATATTCTGATCTCAACTTGGTAAAATCAAGTAGGGTTCTCCTGAAGTTCTTATTGGAAATAATTAAAGCTAAGAATTAATAAATTCTGAATTATTTCTGCAATAGTGTGACCTAATGTGAGTGTTAACACCACGGTGGATACCCCTTTCTCTAGGGGAATTGTCAGAATTCTCCTTGCAAGTGGATTTTCTCAGTTTATTTTCTAATTATGATACTCAAAAGTTTAAATAGGGCTGAGATTATCCCTAATGAAGCTCAGCATTTTTTTGGGGTGGGAGGATATTAAATGCTTATAAAATAACAGAACCTCATTGCAGACATTATAAAGATAGAACATAAAGTTCTAAAGAAAAAGGAAAAGATAATTCTCCATAATTATGTAATACAAATATCATTGATAGTTTCTTTTCTCATTTTTTAATTTTAATGTAGTAAAAATTTTTCTATACTTTCATTCTACAACCTGTTTTTTCACTTAATGTATAATTATTTCCTATACTGTTAAAAACTTTGTGTTGCTAATGTTAATCGCTGCACATTCATTCAGATGCACTGTATTTGCTTACCCATTCCTTTACTTTTACTTGCTTTCATTTTTTTTGCTGTTTCTGAGTTTTTGAAACAGAGTCAGTGGTAGTTTTCCTGGGTGGTTCCCACAGAACACAATAGCTGAGCAGACGAGGCCTGCTTAGAGAGCTAGAGGCATAGAGAATGTGGTTCCCATTTTCACTTCTGACCAAATATCCCACTATCCTTTCAAAAGAAGCCTTCTGAATGCCAGGAGTTAACTGACTATATGTTGGAGCTATCATTTGTTTAATTATAATTCTTAGGAAAAACTATTTAAACAAATATTTATTAAAGTATATTTGAAGAACACCAGTGATTCAGTTTTGTAAATACAGAGATAGTAGCCTAAACAAACATATAAAAACTAATTCTTCAATAGAACTTGGCACATATTTTCAGAAAGATTATTTTAGAACTGTAAAGAAAATGAACATCTTTCCTTCACGTAATAGTCAACAACGAATATTTACTGAGTATATGCCAGGTACAATTTTAGGTGGGCAATATCACTTACCCTTGGTGATGTCAAATGCATTTTCCTTCAGTGATATCAGGGCTCCTGAGCCCATTTGTAACCTTACTAGGAAGGGTTCTCCAATTCTATCGTGAGTTGGTTGAGTTAGAAGAACTGAATGGTTCTCAAATGGCTCTCAAATTCTATCACTGTATCACTGATATCTTTCTGTCCTAGAATTTTTTTTTTTTTTTTTTTGAGAGGAGGTCTTACTCTCTCAACCTCCTTAGCTCAAGCAATTCTCCTACTTCAGTCTCCTGAGTGAGTAGCTGGAACCAAAGGGCATACCACCACATCCAGCTAATTGTTAAAATTTTTATTTTTGTAGAGACAGGGTCTCACTTTGTTGCCCAGGCTGGTCTCAAACTTCTGGGCTCAAGCAATCCTTTAGCTTCAGCCTCCTGAAGTGCTGGGATTACAGGTGTGAGCCACTGTGCCTGGCCTCCTAGAATCTTTTGAAATTCTTCTTGATCTATATGAGAAAGCTTTTCCCCTAACTTTCATCAAAATAAAGTTTAAGTATTATTAATATTTGTCCCATATTTGAGCAATATGAACCTCACCTTCTCTTTTTCTGGTTTGTTAAGGGCTGCTTGGAAGCTAAAACAACCTTTGCCGTATTAGTGAGGGGGCATGCAAAATGAAACATAGAAGAAGCTACCACAGATCTTAAGTAATATATGCTGTAAATTTATCGTCTCCAAAGCAACTTAGGTAAATTCAATTGCTTCATGAGTCTCTAGATTCAACAGAATCAAGGAGTTGCCTCCGAGATGTTACCCAGGGGATGACTCTGAAGAGAAGGACTGTAGAAGTCCCTCTTTACACACCTTGCTTCCATTGAGAATCCAGTCACTTCCTTCCTTCTTAGTATTTGTTTTTACTCCTTGTAAGTCACTGCAATTGAGAGAAAGGATAAAAAATTCATCAAATGACAAAAATTAAATTATGCACATTTTATATGTATGTAAATGAGATTATTCAAACTGGCTACACCACTATAAAATTACTGAATATTAAGAATGTTCACATCATTGCACTGAAAAACCATGCTGATCTATTATATTCTAAAGCAGTTATACAAATGAATATATGATTAAGATTATATAAACTAGCCAGATTTTATAGAGTAGTATAACAAAGCACAGCTAACATTCAAGACCCAAAATGAGACTCACATAACATTTCAAGGCTCACTGTATCCCTGAGATTACGTGTCACCATGTACTTTGCTGCCTTTAAACACACTGGCTCCTTCCCCTGTCTCTACTGATCAAAAATTTAGCTATTAGGCAGAGTACAGTGGCTCATGCCTGTAATCCAGCACTTTGGGAGACTGAGACAGGAGGACTGCTTGAGTGCAGGAGTTTGAAACTAGCCTGGGCAACAAAGCTAGTCTCTATCTCCACAAAAAGGTAAAAAATTAGTTGGGTGTGGTGGCACATGCCTGTGGTCTCAGCTACTTGAGAGGCTGAAGTGAGAGGATGACTTGGGCCTGGGAGGTTGAAGCTGCAGTGAGCCATGATCATGCCACTGCACTCTAGTCTAGGTAACACAGTGAGAACTTGTCTCAAAAAAAAAAAAAAAAAAAAAAAAAGGGTATATCTCAAATGCTATTTTTTCTAACAAACCTGCTCTAAACGTAGAATAGATTATTTTTCCAAATATAAAAGAAACAAATATTAATAAATAAAATATTAGGAATACAAACAGCATTCCAAAGGAGAAAAGTAATTTTAAAAATAATTTTATCTCCTAGAATGAACATTTTAAAGGTATATCTTTCCAATATTTTTCTATGCACTTAACCTTACATACATAAGCATTTTTATAAAATTGAAACTATATGATTTTGATCTATTAATGTCTAATGTTTTTCTATAAGATACTTCTTATTAGCTGCACAGAGCATCATCATGGATTTGCCATAATTAAAAAAAAATTCCCTATTGTTAAAACACTTAGGTCCCAATTTTTATTAACATCCTATAATAAACAGCATTGTGTATAAATAGTCCACATTACTTGCAAAATTTTTCCAATTCTTCTTCATGTGGTTGACATGGTTTGGCTCTGTGTTCTCACCCAAATCTCATATTCAATGATAATTTTCAGTGTTGGAGAAGGGGGCCTGCTGGGTAATTGGATCATGGGGATGGACTTCCCTTTTGCTGTTCTTGTGATAGTGAGTTACTTACCATGAGATCTGGTTGTTTAAAAGTGTGTAGCACATCCCCGTTCTCTCTCTTCCTTCTTCTCCAGCCATGTAGGACATGCCTGCTTCCCATTTGCCTTCTGCCATGATTGTAAGTTTCCTGAGGCCTCCCCAGCCGTGCTTCCTATATAGCCTGTGGAACTGTCAGTCACTTAAACCTTTTTCTTTGTAAATTACCCAGTTTCAGGTATTTTTTTAAATAGCAATGCAAAAACAGATAAGACAGTGGTGTTTATATTTCATGCTCCTAGGTTTTTTTTTTTTTTTAGATCTAGTTTCACTCTTATTGCTCAGGCTGGAGTGCAATGGCACAATCTCATTTCACTGCAACTTTCGCCTCCCCAATTCAAGCAATTCTTCTGCCACAGTCTCTCCAGTAGCTGGGATGACAGGCATAAGCCATCGTGCCTGGCTATCTTTTTTTTTTTTTTTTTGTATTATTAGTAGAGATGAGGTTTCACCATGTTGGCTAGGCTGATCTTGAACTCCTGACCTCAGGTAATCTGCCCACCTTGGCCTTCCAAAGTGTTTTTGCATTACTATTCTGTATGCCACTTAGGCTAGAATTCTTGACCCAATTTCTCCCACTTCTGCATAAAGTCACCAAAGGCCAGTGATTCTGCTTGTAACATATTTCAGACATCATTTTGGTCCATTCTCACTACCAGAAAGAAACTCTATATTGGTTTTTCTTTTATCTTTACTGACCTTTTATAATAGCATTTATAGTGTGTTGAATTGTGGTCCCCCCAAAAATATATCCAAGTCTTAACCCTGGTACTTATGAATGTGACCTTATTTGGGAAAAGAGTCTCACAGATGAAATTAAGTTAAACATCTTATCCTGGGTTAACCAGGTGGATTCTAAATAAAAAGTACCTGTATAGGAAGAGAAGAGGGGAAACACAGAGAAGAAAGCCGTGTGAAGATGGTAGCAGACACAGGAGTCTATAAGCCCAAAAGTAATGTAAGAGGTCCTCCACCCGGTTCCTTAAGAGTGTATGTCCACTGCTTGAACCCTGAAGACTGGGTTGTGAGCCAAGGTCATGATGCTTAGCCAAGGAGCAAATGTCCTGAGAACACAAACATTCAGGAGAGTGTCTGGGGATATAGCAAGAAGAACACTCATCACACTCAGAGGAGAAGAGCCAAGAAATTAACTTAAAAGCAGCTTGGAGATGGGTAGGGTAAGGGGGTGTATGGGGCAAATCTCCAGAGCTATCCTGCTGCCACCTAGGAATGTCTTGTATACAAGTCTTAATAAACTCATCTACTCATCAAGCTGAACTTGCCCAAGTCATTCTTTAGTCTTTAGGCTCCTTCCCAGTTTGTGGGGTGCATTAGTCCATTTCACACTGCTATAAATAATACCTGAGACTGGGTAATTTATAAAAGAAAGAGGTTTAGTTGACTTACAGTTCCACATGGCTGAGGAGACCTTAGGAAACTTACAATCATTGTGGAAGGTGAGGCGAAGCAGGGCACATCTTACATGGCGGCAGAAGGGAGAGAAGTGAGAGTACAGGAAAAACTGCCATTTTAAAAACAGATCTCATGAGAACTCCATCACTATCGTGAGAACAGCATGGGGTAAGCCACATCCATGATCCAATCATCTCCCACCTGGTTCCTCCCTCAACATGTGGGGATTACAATTTGAGTAAGAGTTGGGTGGAGACACAAAGCCAAACCATATTGGGTGGTGGGGGACATTATAATTCCAAGTTTTTCTTTCAACACCCAAGCCAAGGAGTGCCTGGGGCCACCAGAAGCTGGAAGAAGCAAAATGTGAAGGAATCATTGCCCTGTTGACACTTTGATTTCAGATTCCTGGCCTCTTAACCTGTGACATAATAAATTTCTATTGTTTTAAGCCACCTAGTTTATGGTAATTTGTTAAAACCAAAAGCCAGAAGAGGCAAAATGTGGAGAAATCATTACACTTTTGACACTTTGATTTCAGATTTCTGGGTCTCAACCTGTGATAGAATACATTTCTATTGTTTTAAGCCACCTAGTTTATGGTAATTTGTTATAGCAGCCCTGAGAAACTAATATAGCATCTATTTTCAGATACCCTGCTTTTCCCTGAAGTCTATCAACCAGAAGTGGCCATTTGTTACCTTATTAAACAAAGCCTATTTACACTTTTTCTATTATCTGCACCCAATTTTTCCTTGGAGAAGCATTCTACTCCCACTCTACCCATGGGTGTGGTAGACTGCTTCAATAGTTCCAGTTCTTTATCCTTTCTGGGCCACATTCTTTAGTATGTACCTTTGGAGTTCCTCCCATAAAGTTGGAATTTATTTCTCCAACATACTTGATTTTTTTTGGCCGATAGAGTTAGGCGAAAGTGAACCAAGGCTTCAAGAAGCTTTGCATGTTACTGATTATTCTTTTGTGTTCCTGCCATGCCATGAGAAGGCAATGAGAAGAACCAGAGGCTTCCTAGCAAAATCCCAGCAGATTTAGGCATGTGAGCAATAAATGCTTATCATTGGAGGCCATTGAACTTCTATATATTTCTGTTGTTGTTGTTATGCAGCATTACTGCAACAAAAAGTAACAGATATAATAAGGCTGCTATATTCTTGCAGCTGAAAGTGTCTGATCTGTACACTGTGGTTATTTTAGAGCTGTGCATGTTAATTGTGTCCTCTGAAAGTGAACTCAGTTCTGAGGCTGGAAAGAGAATCTCCTTCTCCTGAACGTGATGCAAAGAAAGCAAGAGTGAGCAGATCTAAAATCTAAATGGAGACTTTAGTGGCCAGGCCTTGAAGTGCCCTATGTTCTTTTGACCCATGTGCCATAGACTAACTCATCATGTGATCACACGTGGACTGCCTTGGCTCTATCTAGGCTTGAGGGGTCTAAAAAGCAGTGTCTTCCTTTCTGCTCAGGAGAAGAAAGAAATGCTTGGTGACCATATAGCCTTGATTCTGCCATGTCTGTCACCTGCGTCTGGTAACATCCTCTGAATATAATGTGAATTTTTTCACATTATCATCTTAAACATTTGATTTGTAGAGTGAATTTTTTATATGTTTACTTTATTCCCCATCCAGGTTGATTCAATCAATCAGGTACACACAGAAGCACCTATTTATTGAGTTTTATAGACACAAAGATGAATATGACCTGTTTTTGCCCTCAAGAGCTTGCCATCTTGGGAGAGAAATAGGCATAGACATTATAAACTGATGTGAAAGACATAGTTGTAGAGGTATTTACAAACTGCTAAGGAAGCACAGATGAAATAGTTTGTTGATGGTGGGGATTATGTCTTACTTGCCTGTGTATCCCCACAAGTACAAAGGATGTGCAAGGGGAGTCTTACATGTGCTAAATACTCAAAAATATTTGATGAGTGGATACAAATAGGTAAGTAAGCCATTACGGAGATGACAGTTGATTCCTAAGGATTTAGAGATATACAAAGTTAGAGTGTAGAGGAACCTATACAGATGGAGGTTTTGTTTTTCTTAATTAAATATCAAACAAAAAACATACAAAAAAGATTTGGTGACAGTTTTAGGCATGTACAGAAGGTAAAATGCTGAAAAGTCTTAAAAAATATTGGCAAAGTTTCTTTATCTGTAATCTATGAAGTGGTAAATTTGTGACAAGATAAAAACCTATTCACAAAATTGTACTTTTGTGAGTACAAAATTGTACTTTTGACAAGTATGACTTTGTATCCAAACTATTTACTTACAATTTTTGAGTTAGTAGGGGGATTTAGTAACTTGAGAAAATTATAAATAATTGCCAGGATGTAATGCAATGTAGTTTTTGTTTGGAAGTGACCGCTAGTTTACTGCATTCAGGGATTC